TCATCACTCTCACACAGGTTGGGAGGCCTGTTGAGATTCAAAGTCTGATGATGACAGGTTAATTATGACACTGCACCTCAGCAGGAGTCAGGTAAAGGATAGGAGGATCCTGCCAACTCTCTGCTGGCAGGAAACATGAAGAGGGCACAGCGACGGCCCAAAGTTGAAGTGTGACTGTCCTCTGTAAATGCCCGAAAGCTGTAGGCAGACCGAGGCAGGCAGGACAGAGAGAGGCCTCCAAAGCTCGGTCATGAGCCCCTGATTTGGGTGTGGTTTCCTTGGGACATTCTTCAGAGTCCTGGGAACATTGCCAGCAGATTCAGGGCCTTACAGTTTGGAGCAGCGGGGAGTATCAGTGAAGAGTGGGTTCTCAGGCTAGATGAGTCTGCTCAAGATAGATAAATTCCTCCTTCAGTTGCTTAATTTTCTTCATCTTTAAAAGGAGACAATAGCAAACTGGGCCCAATGATGTATATCTATAACCTTAGATCTTGGGAGGCTGAGGCAGGAGGGCCATGAGTGCAAGGCCAGCCTGGCCAGCCTGAAGGGAGACCTTGTCTCAGAAAATAGGTGGGGGGCAGTATCAGTGTACGACTGTCATAGGATTCTTGTAGGATCAGTGAGATGATCTGTTAGTTTACATGCTGCCTCCTGGAACTTTGTGAGTATTCAATGAATGACAGCTGTAAGGGATATTTTATTTCTTAAGCCATATGTGGCCAGGCATCGTCAGATGGCAAGTGTTCAGAGCAGCACTTATAAGGAAAGGCCTTACAGGCTTAGCAGCTCACAATAGCTAGCCATCCTAAGAGCTCTTGGATGGAGTTAGCCAAGCCCCAAGCCCCACCGTGCAGGCTAGACCCCAGCTCCAATAGTCTATTTCATCCCAAACAACCTGGTTAACACAGTAGCTGGTCGCATGCTGTGATACAATTGAGCTTTTTGTGTAAGAATAAACTGATTCAGATCATGTTATCCTTTGGTTCCATGGCATTCAGTTGGGCAAGCTTTCTGTCCTCTTAGCCTCAGTTTATTCCAGTGTCCAAGAGCAAGAACAGAATCAAAGGGCGGCAGCAATAGTTTTGAGTGGCTGGAAGATACTGCCCTCCCAGCCCCCTGTGAGGCTGGCTGTGCGTCAGGCTGTATTTGTTCACCTGTTGGGTTATCCTGGTTGAGGCTGTGCCAAGGCTTCCCATTTGGAGCACCATGGCGAGAAGCCAGCAACAGACTAGGCAAGAGAAAACGTAAGATGGAAGGCGAGACAGACTGCACTAGAGAACGAGCAAGGCTGGAGAGAAAGAAAGGGGGAAAGCACGAGGGAATAAAGATGGAAGAGAAAAAAATAATGAATGCTTGAAAGGGAAAGGGAAATGGAAAAAAATGGAGCTTTCTGATGTTCACGAAACTTAAGAAGTAAGAAGTGATAATAATTGGCACAGAAATACAGTGAGATGGTTAGAAAGACTCACAGAATTATAAATATTATAAAAGGGCCTTTTGGGCATTGTGTTATCCATCTATCTTTATAGTTAAAGAAGAAAGGAAAAAATAAAATAAAAAAAGGAAAGAAACAGAGAATCTTTGTGTTTGGGACTTTGTGTGTAGGGGATTAGATTATGGTCTATAAGGGAAAGCACGAGGGAATAAAGATGGAAGAGAGAAAAATAAGTTTCCATAACTAATAATCTATCAATTTATACACTAGATTTATTTATATAAGATTCCTTATCTGGTTAAGATACTTCATTGTGGTCTGTATCATTTCTAGGAAAGCCACATTATTCTGATGTACATGTGTCTATTTTTCAAAGTTTTCAAAAAGTCAAGATCATAATGCCCTTGGAATTTCTAGGTAGCTTATATAGTGGGGTCATGTTTTTCACAAAGCTAACCAGCCCCCAGGGGTGTTCTGTATTTAAGGCTGAGCCTTTGCCAAACTGGAATCTGAGCTAGAAGGTCCGAGTGCTCTCTGGCGGTCCTTGGGGGATTCCTCCGTGGGCTCGCTGTTGAAGTCTATGATGTCTGTCTCCTTGGTGTCCAGGCTCTCCATTAAGTACAGCACGTCAGGAGAGAGCCGAGAGCCAGCCCCATTGAGTACACTGGACTCTGAGGATGTCTGGGTTTCAGTTAAGAGAAGCGGCCCAGGGCTCATGGGGTCAGCACTTAGACTCCCCAGGGAGATGTGGCTGGACTCTTGAAACTCTGGGAGGCTCCACCTTTTCAGAAAACTGTCGTCTTCAGGGCCTTCTTCAAACTGGGACATATTTGTCTCAGTTCTGGCTGAAGCAGTCTGGAGAGTAGGGCTCCTAGGAGGTGTCCCCACCTCTGAAGGTGACAGGAGTAATCCTATGGGGTCCCCCTGCTGCCCTGTCCTGCTTGGCTGAACCCCAGTAAACTCAAAGCTAGTGATGGAGGCAGTGGAATCATGGTGATGGCCATCTGATGAGGGCACTGGTGCTTCAGCTGCTGTGATCAGCACCTCAGGCACCTGGGGCATTTTGATGGGGGAGGCCCTCACGCTGGACTGCGGGGTCAGGCTCTGGAGGGTGCTTGTCCTGCTGGTCTCCCTGATGGTGGACAGTTCTCCCATGCTGGAATGCAACTTGGGGCTGCCCTCCAGGGAACCGGAGGGCTGCCGGCTGTGCGAGGTCCTCTGTGGGCTCCTGCAGGGCACGTTCAGCAGATCCCGCGTTGGGCTGATGGGGAAGAGCATGGAGCTGTCGCTGGCCTGCCGCCGGAAGCTCCTCCGGGGGCTGGTGGGGTGCTCGTGGGTACTCAGGAACCTCTTGACTCTTCTGATCATGGAGTGCCGATGGCCAGGCTTCTGGTAGTCCCATACCCACTCTTCACTGGGCAAGTCGGACTCAGACATCCTGCAACACACAATGACGGTAAGACAGGAAGGGTAGCCTCCGGGCCAACATGTCCAAGTTAAGAGATGAGTTTTTGTATTTTTTGCTTTACAGATTTTTATTTTTTCCAAAATTTTATTGATAAACAGCAATGAGACAGTTTCAAATCAAATCGGAAGTACAGTTTCAACAAATAACACACTGTATATATTCTTCTTAATGGTTAATTGCTGTACAAGATGTGGACTTGAGAACCTATTTACAAACACCATTAGAACAAATCATTCTATTCATTAAGAGAATGCAACTATATACCTATCCTAACCACTTTGAATAC